TGAGTTGGAGTCTCACTCTTTGTCTCCCAGACCGGAGTGCAGTGGTATGCTCATGGCCACCTCAGCCTTGACCTGCTGGGCTCAGATGATCCTTCCACTTCAGCCTTCCAAGTTGCTGGAACTACAGGCAGGCGCTACCACACCCGGCTGATTTTTTGACTTATTGTAGAGATGAGGTCTCGCCAAGTTGCCCAGGCTGGTCTTGAACCCATGGGCTCAGGCAATCCTTTTACCTTGGCCTCTCAAAGTACTGGGATTATAGGCTGAGCCACCCCGCCTGACCTACTATACCTTTTAATGTTTAGATGTACAGATACTTACCATTGTGTTACAGTTGCCTACAGTATTCAGTAAAGTGCATTGTATAGGTTAGTAACCTAGGACCAAAGGCTACACCATCTAGGTTTGTAAGTACACTCCATGTTTGCACAACGACAAAAATCAATGCATTTCTCAGATCAAATCCCTGTCAGTAAGTAACACATGACCATATATCACTTAGGGTTACTTTTCTTTCTTAGGCTTTCTCTAAATGAAAAAGTTCTTTTTTGTTAATTCCTTGATGGTGATCAGAAAGTTTATTTTTCTGTACATTGGACCTTGCTTATTAAGGACTATTCATAGAGAGTATTTTTCTAAGCCTTCCTTTTCAGAAGTATCCCTATATTTATAAGGATATGAGAAATAATTTACAGTTTTGAGTAACAACTGTGTTTTTAGAGTCCAAGTTCGATGATTAGCTTACTGAGGATTTGACCATTTCACCCAGAGAACTTTAAAATTGCCTTTAAAAACAGTGATTACCACTGTATCTTGGTTCACACCACTTTTCTACCTAGTTGTGAAATTTTTGTTTGTTTGTTTGGGTTTTTTTTGAGTTGGAGTCTCACTCTGTCGCCCAGACTGGAGTGCAGTGGCCGCTCCCGGCCACCGCAGCCTCGACCTGCTGGGCTCTGGCAATTCCTCCTCAGCCTTCCAAGTAGCCGGAATTACAGGCAAGCGCTACCACGCCCTGCTGATTTTTTTCATTTATTGTAGAGATGAGGTCTCGCCGCCCAGGCGGGTCTTGAACTCGTGGGCTCAGGCAATCCACTCACCTCAGCCTCCCAAAGGCGCGGGATTACAGGCTGAGCCACCGAGCCCGGCGCTAGTTGTGAAATTTTTGTAATCTAACTTACATCAACGGTTTCCAGGTTACTAAGCCTGAAACATGCACCTAAATATATTATACATTTAGTTAACGTTTCCAGAAGTTAGTGAATTCAGATGAGTGATCTGATTGAAATAATTGGTTGAAATATGTTGATGTCAGCAGTTGGAGCAAACAAGGGTGAGACAGATCTACCAGCGTTACGGTGCTCTTGGCATAAATAAGGCCCAAAGGTTGGTTGGTTTTTACCACTTTAGGATGAACGTCTGAAAAGGCCTTTCAGCTGAGGAGAAATAGACTGAAGATGAGCCTATAGCCTAGTAAATCACCATTTTGTAATTATTTTTTTATGTTTGTAATTCATTGTGTTTGACTCAGTGAGAGCCAATTCATTTCCTTGGTGTTTCTCAGTTTTGGTGGTGTGTCT